AAAGTCACGTTTGAACATTTGATGGGCAAACTCCACAGAGCCTCCTGTTGGGAGACAGCTCGAAGGGTCATGATGCAACATTCTTGATAGAAGAGGCTTAATGATTTTGTACATTAATATAATTAACTGGTTAAAAATAAAGCCACTACAAGACTGAAACTCACTATACTGCATTAAAACCTTTATTTTTCTTCCTCATCAGAAGAAATGGTGTTAATTCAGATGAAATTATAATTACTACTAGGGCACCCTTCATAAATAACACAGAAACTGGTAAGATACCCAGCTAGCTCATACCTTACAGTTTATTATTAACATGTATTGCTTATCCAAATGTTGAGATATGAACTTCATATTTGAATCTTGTGTATGGAAATACATTTTGGACATTTGTGGGTTCAAATGAAGAGCAATGTCATCACTGGAATTAGGATGCTGTATCGAGCTGCAACAAAAAGGTTTTTGTACAGTATGTCAGTGAAGAAGACGTGTACAAGTTAGACATTTTAAGACTTCCTGTCAGAGAGAAGCTCATAAAATACTGTAACTGTGTAGACAGAGGAAATGTGGGACTTTATCAAAGCTGCCAGTTTGCTAATAAATCATGCTAATCATATGGCTCAATCCCTGTGCCTCATTAGTGTCATGAGTTACAACTAAACAGTCCAAAAACATACATCTTCTGAACACATAATGAGGAGTACTGAATTTAATTTCACTTTCTATCATCTGTGAAGCCAAACCCTACCAATGGGAATAAATTATGTCCTGTATATCCTACTCCTTTTTTGGTAAGAATATTTCAAAAGTTAAAAGCCCCTAGAAATACAATCAAACCAGGCTGCCCTACTAAATATTCCAGCACAGGACACTGCCTCATTTACTTTGTCCAGCAAATACATATCCCATGGCCTTTTCTGACCTTTCTGATTGTACGTCACAGTTAGCTAAAAGCCTGCTTGTTTAACAGTGCCTGCGGACTAGCATCTGTGCACTGCTTTGCATCACTCTTGCCCATGTGGACAGCACCGTACGCCCCAAAAGCGAGGCTTCATTTGATCGCAGCATCCACTGTGCTGAGGAAGATGCTGCGATCACTTTACCTTGTGTGTCAGTTGCTAAAAAATGCCATTTCTAATGAACAAAGGAAAGCTTGCTTCATATTCAGCCCAGAATCTCTTTGCTGGCGAGAAATTTCTGTGGCCTCAAGCAAACAAATGCTCCATCGTCTGCCTTTCACAAACCTTTAGATCTCTGTGAATGTCAGCAATATTATCCTCCCAAATCCTCTGTGAAGGCCCGGCCACTATGCTTGAATCAAATCTCAAGATGCCAAGGCGTCTGTGTAGCCCACCACAAAAAAAGCCAAGGCACTGAAGAAAAACACTGGGGGCGATCAGTGTTCTGACTAGGAAAATATCAGGCCTGGCCATGGGGCTGCAACTTAAACTGTCTGACAGACAAAAATCATTTGGCCATGACAGGTCAGGCATGACAAATGCTGATGAGCTGGTTTGAAAAGGTCTCACCACTGGGGATATTCATGGTGTCAGCCTTCAACAGCATACTCTATTCACTAACAGAACCCCATTTAGACCGAACTGCGTCATTAGGTTGCACTTTAAACTATTTATAATGAAGTCGAATGTCGTACTGTTTCATATTTTGCCACACTAATATAGATCAAATATAGTTGCAATAAATTTCCTTAATTAAGATTTTACACAGTAGGTGCTTTTCCACCAGAAATCCCTGGTACTTCTTATTCCTAGGAACTAAAATCCAAGAACAGTCCCTGGAGTACAAGTCCCCTGGCCACATTGTGATTTGCAAATTAGTCCACTGACATAAAAGTCTTTGAATAATTGGCTAATATTAATTGCCTAATAATTTTCTAATAGTTCCCATATAATATCGAATAGCATTTTAGCTTGATATGCCCATCCCTACTGCCTACAGCACTTCTGTTGTTATTCCCGCTTCTCTAGCCTTTGTTTTCAAAATATGGTTCATTAGCCTTATGTGCATCTAACTAGCAAGTGTTGAGCATATTGTATATATAAAAAAGACCAACAAACTGTAGTAGCTATTATTCTTTTATCTGATTCAACAAGTATACATTTATGGCATAGATTGTGTGAGATGCTTCATTAATTATAATGTGTAATTCAACAGGACTTCCTATTATATGGATATAATGTACGCAGCAACAACTAACCGCAGCCAGTAGGTGCTGGGACTGCAAACAGCACAGCAGATTATAAGATGTAGTAAAATCTAGAGATGCTTTTTTAATACTGGTGATGAAGGCTGATTCCCAGTTTGATTGCTGTGTAGGCTGACTTCTCAGACAAGCAAAGTGCCACTGGAGCAGAGCCAGGTTTAAACAGCGTTAAAGCAGATGGTAGAGCAAACCAGACAGGACACACAAACACATCTCTCCAGTAGAAGTGCACTGATCGAGACAACCTGTGGTGTTGCCACCTGTTTTAGCACTCTGCATAATTAAACAGTACCCACAAAACTCTCTGCTCATCACAGTGACTCACTTTCCCAGCATCCCTCGAGCAGCGCTGGGTGAGATCATTCATCATAAAGTGTTAAAAGGAGCTCAAATTATTCTCCTTCTCGCTTGTCTTTGTCTTCGAGTTCACTCCACGACTCCAAGTCCTTTCCAACCATAAATTTCTTCCTGCTGTACTACCAAACACACACCTCCAAGGGATGGTGGAAACAACACTTAAGAATGTGTAAAGCAAAAGATCTGACATGCTCAACTTTTAAGAAAATACATTTTAATTTTGTCCTCCCTGAAAACACACAATATGACTCAGATGTACTGTACATGTGACAATCAGGGGTATTGATCCTTTACTTGCTTCTGTTTGACGTAAGCCCACCTCAGACTCAGCAATGATTCATTCTAACACACACTTGCACATTTCCTTTCTGTTTGTCTACTGCTAAAATAAGCATACAGGCAGTGGCTCTTAATGGTTATTTATTACACCCATTAGCATTTCTCATAAGGAAAATAATCCAAAAATTATGTTTGAAATTTTATAATATTTTGTAAATGGTCAGAATTTGTGTCAAAATAAAAACAATGAAAGCCCACCATGCCTATGTCTGCAAGCTGTGGTCTATAAGGTGTTTTAACTGTGTTTTTACACAGTGTGCAGACAAGACACTTTGTAAGTACATTGAGGCCCATTGGACAGGTATTTGATGGGCTTAAAGCTGGGATGAAGCTGGATGTGTGAAGATACTGTAAGCTTTACTGTGATGCAGTGTTTAGTTTTGTTTGCCTTTACACAAAAGGATTAAGTCTCCTTTCACTTACACATCTCGACTTGCACACACATATTCATAGAAGACATCCAGAGATAGGTGATTATATGTAGACGCATGTATACGTCGCTCAACCTCTGCCAGATCTAATGAGGTACAGTGGGTACGGAAAGTATTCAGACCCCCTTAAATTTTTCACTCTTTGTTATATTGCAGCCATATGCTAAAATCATTTAAGTTCATTTTTTTTCCTCATTAATGTACACACAGCACCCCATATTGACAGAAAAACAGAATTTTTGACATTTTTGCAGATTTATTAAAAAAGAAAAACTGAAATATCACATGGTCATAAGTATTCAGACCCTTTGCTGTGACACTCATATATTTAACTTAGGTGCTGTCCATTTCTTCTGATCATCCCTGAGATGGTTCTACACCTTCATTTGAGTCCAACTGTGTTTGATTATACTGATTGGACGTGATTAGGAAAGCCACACACCTGTCTATACAGGTATGTGCCAAAAAATTAGAATATCAAGGAAAAGTCCATTTATTTCAATAATTTGTTTCAAAAAGTGAAACTTGTATGTTATATTAGTTC